TCCTCACGGAAGAGTGCCAAGCTGAGAAGGAGTCCGCGGTTTCCACCAGCAAGCCCAACTAAGACTAAAGCAATACCAGGATCCACCACCGTCCTGGTATCGCATAATGGCAAATCTCCCTCTGATCCACAAGGGCGGCGACTGCCTGTTGTGGTGATAACCTAGAGCAGACTTTGGCCGGGCTGACCTCTGGACTCCAGGGAAACACAATGAATGACTAAACTAGCAAAACTCCGAAAAATGGAGAGTTTTCAGGGGCCCACACAACCAGTGAGGACGGTCCAAGTAAGTAACGGTGAATTAAAGGGCGAACATCGCAGTAGTAATGATGACAACCATCACGAGCATGGTGCTGCTTCTATCCAGCTCTGGGCTCACGAATTCTTTCATCCTTCGGGGGTCAGGAAATTGGTGACGGACTTGTTTGGGAAGAAACAACTCTCTGCAATTCAATTGGGAACGTTCCAGCCCGTCTATCTCAGGACTGTAGGGTGAATCGAGTCAACCACCATCCTACGATATTCATGATTAAATGAAAATCCACAAGCAACAGCCGAAGAGAGATGTAAAAAGCAAGAAGACCTTCGTGGATGGTGGATGCTGGGAAACGAATAGAATGTAAAAGTGCTAGGATCCGCACAGTAGACGTGAACTCGGCTCGTTTAAGAAAACAAAAACATTGAATTTATTCAAACTGAACATTCTTTATGTTTTTAATGGTCTTGAGGTTGCAGCCATTCGCTAAGTTAAACTCTTGTAGTACCTTCTGTTTTGTGTTTAAATCAGATCTCTTTTTCAGTTTCGCAGTTCTATGTTCAATCGCACGACCCTACTGCTGTAATTGTTTCGTTTTCCTTTCAAGTACCGGATGATGACAAAGTTCGCATTAAATATTTTTAATGCATTAAATAGTTTTGCATTTCTTTTTATTTCTTTCTATATTAGTGGCCTCAGTGAATGTCAGCGACGGTGGTATGTTGCTCTCATTTTAAAACATATCGTCGTTATTCTGTTTCCAACATTCTATTGATGGTTTTTCTATACTGAACTATAGGTGTGAATGAGAAATGTAGAAATAAATTGGAACTATTGAGGCATGAGGTGCAATGTAAGTGAAAAATAGTATAATTTAAATGCTGAAGATGGTTAACCATATTATGTGGTCCCGCGACATTAGAAATGTTTCCGTAGGCTTCTTTTAACAATCTTATATTTACTTGGTGAATTTGAGAAGTTTAAAAGTGTCTTGTTAGTTTTGTTTCCTAGCAGGTTCACACGTTAATTTGTCCTTTGTTTTCACCCTACTGGTTTCAATTTTTTCCGTAAACGTAATTGTTCTGTTACAGTTTCCATTCTGTTAGTGCTGTGTTTGCACTATCATTTTCCAATTTATGCGTTCTTTATAATTTTTTTTGAAAGTCACTTTGTTCAAGGAGTGTACTTCTGCAGAGTACGGTCACTAAGGCAGCTGCGTTGATGATAGTTCTGAAGATCACGGTGAGTGCTTTAACTGTTAATACTACTACATTCATGTAATATAGGTTTATGAATATAAAACAAAGGATGAAGGATAAACCTGTCGGCGTTGATCAGTCGCTGCGTTATGCGTCATGCATTCGACTTTATTAAGCATCGTTGGAGGTGACTGAATGTATATATAGGTTTTACAATGATTCGCAGCGGTCTACCGATGTATCGAGCCAGTGCTGCTATCCTCTCAGACAAGTTCGGTACCAATTTGCCGACTACGGAGGGATGGAAGACTTGGTGGGTCATGTGCGCTGGGATCGATCCCATGTGTAATGCAGGGCGCTTCCGACCACTGCGCCACACACTTCCTTCGACCCCGTAGTGTTGGCACTACTGCTGATTCGTAACAGTACTTTTATAATGTAATAACCGGGAATCAGTGTAATTATTGGAGTAATTCTGCACAAGAATGTAATGCTTGAATTTTACTGCATTTCACTGCCTAAAGTAATAGTTATGTGTTACAAAGTTGCTATTTAATAAGTAAATTTTAAGTAATTTTGTATAACTGTAAGAGCGGTTGTTGCAGGATGTGGAGCAATTCAAATGCTTTTTATTCAATAATTTTGTCGTCACGATTTGGAAACGTCCAATTTGTATTTGTGAACGACTTTAAAGCTCATTTATCCGGTATATGTGTAGTAAGTTAGAGACGCGTTTAGCACAGTGGTCGGAGATGCCCTGCAATACACATGAGGTCGATTTCCGCGCCCAAGGCTCGCCAAGCGTTCCATCCGCTGGCGTTGGCAAATTGATACCAGACTTGTCTAGGAGGATAGCAGCAGTGGCGCAATACATCGATATGCCACTGCGGGTAATTATAAAGGCCAGATGTGCATTCACTCACTTCCAACGATACTTAATGAAGTCGAATTCATGGCGCATCTCTCAAGGATTGATCCGGAGAGCTTTATCCTTTATCCTTTGTTATGTATTGCAAATCATGTGTGTTGTCATTGTGTGGTCCTGGGATTCGTATTTGACCACCATGTTCTTTAATGTTTTCTGGATATTTTTTAACATAAGTTATATATTCGTCAAAGATTCGGATAATTGTCTCTTTAAATTGTTTAGAACAATCTAGGAGGAAATATCATCTTTTCGAGTTGTTAGCTCCTATCTATCCATGGTTTTACGGGGCAAATATCTTTTATCGATGTGCTGCGATTGTTAAATGTTATTTAAGAAATAGTTCTTCATTTCAAATTAAATGTTTCCATTGGGATCGTAAGTGCATCTCTTGCGAAAAATATTTCAATGTGATTACTAGTCGATGAGCTTCAGGTATTGTATAAGTTCGTATGTTTTGTGCGTGTCTTATTAAATTTTTTTGTTCGTTGTGCTTTAAACTTACTGTTGTTTCAGTACTAAGGACGTCATTCCAAAGTGTACCGTTGCGGTCGAGTACTGAAGAACAATTATATGCTCGATTACTAAACGACCTCGTGCCTCTGAGGACTACTGGAACTGTGTTAATTGTAATAACCTCCGACGTGAGTCTTATATGACTCATTAGTGCTCAAAATTATGCCTTTCTACTTTAAACAAATATATTTCGGATCGTGGTTGGCTCTGTTTATTCAAATAGAACCCGTCCAGTGTTGAGGGTGGGGGTTCTGGAACTGAGAGTTACCATGAATTGTCTTGGTCGCCATGATAAACTCAGACAGCCGTTCAGCCTGTTCGTTCCAATCCAATCCGTGGGTCCCAATGTGACGTTCTTCTTGGTCCAGTCTCGGCGTTGAAATCTCCAATGATGACCTTGAAGAATGTGTGGTCTTCTCTGTAGAACCTCTCTAAGTCCATATAGAACGCTTCGATTTCTTCTTCGTCACAGTTTGATGACGGCACGTAAACGACGAAGATTGTCAAAGCCGGTATTGATCCACATCTTTTAAATCGTAAACGTCCGATTCAGGTTGTAAGTTGTTCGAATGAATCGATGTCATGGACAAACTCGTGTTGACGAGAACGCCGACGCCGCCGACTCCTCTACTGTGGCATGTTCCGAGGACCAGTTCTTCTCCGGTGTCATAGACGGTGTTTAAAGGCTGGCGTCTTCTCGTCTCGGTCTCGCCGACGACGTCGTACTTTATCCTTCTTGCTTGCATGAGCAATCTATCGAGGACTCCGATGGAAGTGTACGTCCATTGAAGGTACAGATCGTCACTATAGTTCTTTGAAATCCAGGCAGCTTCCACTGGCCCTGAGATTTTAGCAGCCTCTCCGTACTCGTCCTACGCAACGCTGCGAAATTGGGGGATTTTTCGGGGTCAGAGGAATGAGGCTTTTTTCTTTTACTGTTTTTAGCTTTTTGATACCCACGTATTGCTTGCTGAGCTCTGAACGTGGGAGCTGGGTATATTCGCGGGTAGCTTGCCATGCTCTCCCTGAGTGGACATGGATCTTATTTGTTGGAGGCGTCTCCTAACCGTCTCCCATACACTTCCTTGTCACTTGATTTCTGGCTTTTCGTCTAATTGGCTTGTATAATAAGCAAGAGCGCAGCCCCACACGTATGCATGAATACGCCTAGCAAATACAAAAAGTATGTGCCAAATCAGCGCAGCAAAAACAGGGACTCCATCGCCTGGTTCCACCTGCGTCCCAGGGAAGCAAAGGTCGCTTCTGGTCCGCGATTAACCTCCTATCCGCCAACTCGGGACACGCCACGTAGTCTCGCGACTAACTGGCTCGCGATCCCTCATATGAGGGAGACCTAGAAAGTCAAAAGTTCGATGTGACTCTATAAAGTTCGGCAAACCATTGCTCTGGGTACACATAGGACACAAAAACACAGTGGCGATGATTTTGAAGTGAATGTCTGGTATAGCGCAGGAATCAAAAACACCAACACGCAAGACTTGAGGCGTTTTCATAAATCTCAAAAGTCCAAAAATGAGCCGGGAAGACGAATGCGTCACTATCACACGTGATATTTTATACACCTTATCTGCGAATGATATTTTGATGCAAACCATTAGGGATGGGTCACACTCATCATTCTTCGTGAACAACACACTGTTGGTCCGACGGCAAGGTGAGTGGTTTTCCAAAACCGGCGTCTCTTCATATGCTGAATCATCATTAATACTGTGTAATCCACTGAATTGCGCTGCAACTGTTATATATGGTGCCTCCATGCTCTGAGGAAGACGAAGTCACCGAAACTTCAGTCTTTATTACAACAAAACAATAAGAACATCTACACCAACCTCGCTTCGGCTAAAAAGGGCAGTTAGTAAGAAGATATTTACAGATATGTTGATGACCTATACAGTTTGCTTTATAATTCCTTCGTTCCTACCATTTTGCTTCGTGTCTAATTGTTAACTTTTGTTTTGTATCACAGAATAAAATGTTTTTACAGTCTTCCTTTTCTCAACACGGGAGTCTTCCCTGCTCATTTTTATGTTTTAACTATTGTGTCAGGGTGATCAAGTCGTTCTTTACAGCATTTAGTTGGGATTATGATGCAGGCGAAGGAAAATCGTATAGGTCGGTGGTACTTTGGTGGTTTGGCATCTGCGGGCGCCGCTTGCTGCACACACCCTCTTGATTTGTTGAAAGTTAGTTCTCATGTTCATTTTGTCGTAATATCGAAGTGTTTTTATGTAGGTTCATCTTCAAACTCAACAAGTGGGGAGGATGTCAATGGGGCAAATGGCCGTTAAATTGTACAAAACCGATGGGGTCCTTTCGTTTTATAACGGTTTGTCGGCATCTCTTCTTCGTCAGCTTACATATTCAACTACTCGATTCGGGATGTATGAGACCTTGAAGAAACAGTTCCCGTCAGGTATGATATCATGTATTCATATTTGCCACTTATACTTTCCTCATTATTTTGACAAAGCGTTCATATATTTGGGTTGAAAGTAGACATATTTTCACCGGTTTCAGATCAGCCATTACCATTTTATCAAAAGGCGTTCCTTGCCGGAGTGTCTGGTGCGTGTGGCGGTTTTGTAGGAACTCCGGGTGATCTAGTAAATGTGAGGATGCAGAATGACGTTAAGGTTTGCATACTTCGTTTTTAATGATTTCTAAAGTATTATTTTGTCGTTATGGACCATTGTTTTCTACTCCTATATGACTTTAGTACATAGTGTTTTAGCTTCCTCCACCAGAAAGACGTAATTATAAGCATGCTGTTGACGGTGTCTTTCGCATCCTCAGAGAAGAAGGATTAGCACGTCTATTTGGAGGTGTGTTTTTTTTACCGCCCTTGGATTAATCGTGATCTTTTTTCTTATTGTAGGTGAGGATTATTTTTATCAACTTCGTGTAAGCTCAACAGTTTAAAAACATATCGTCACCATAATCTATTCGGGTTTAGATAGACCAGAACTCCCTTGAGATCATAGTCTTTCTTTGTTCCCAACGCTATCTCATCAGCATTTTTTCGATGCTTAGCAAGAAGTGCCCATAGAACTCTTGACGGGCAGCAAGTGAATGCTGAGTACACTGTCTTGCTTTCTTAAAGTAGGAATGTAGCTTATTTACTGAGATTGACATTTCTATCTACTTTATCCAATTCCTTTTTCTCATGGAATCTTAACCGGTTAGTTAAGAGGCGTAGTGCATGTCCATTTAGCAGGGAGAGGATTAATTGCGAAGCAAGGTCGACCTTGTAATCTCTTTTGGGTTCATTAGGCTTTCGTTGTGTTAGGAGGACATGCTTATGCCTATGTGTAGATGTGCTCACATTTATGTGGATTGTAATCTACATGTCGATGCGAACAAAAACTAGTATTTTGGCAAGAAGGAAGTGCTTGATAGACAGTTTTGGGTCGATCTCATCAAATAAGCAACATTTCTACTTTAAGTAAGCAAAATATTAGTGCACTCAGAATTCACTTGTTGCCCGTGAAGATTTCCATGGGTACTTCTTGCTAACAGTGGTTATGAAAAACTGCCTCATTACTTCGATGGCGAAAAAGTGCTGATGCGATAGCAGACGAACCGGCACCGCTACACTTGCCCTAAGTCTAATACTGAAGCATGTAGACCAGCGCCAGCTTTATCGTCGCTTTTATCTCAGCATCGTGTTATGAGGTGGACGATACTGAAGTATTTTTTGTGGATTTAATAAGTGTAGCAACAAAGGTCATAACTATATGGACATCATTTGAGTACTCAGATCTATAATTCAGTCTTAGGGAACGTCTGTATGATTTCATATCGACAATAACTGGGTGTGATTGGACATGTAAGATACGAGGTAGTCTCTCACGCATCATCACGACCAATATCATCTATGACAATTCGAAATTCCGGAATCTTTCCTCTTTGCGTTAATTTTTGAGATTCCCCAGTTAAGAACGCTGTAATGAAGTTAGTCGGATAGCCATAAATTGAGGATCTACATGAGGTCAGACCATAATCTTTTTCACGCAGGATTCTTCTTTTTTCGCGCACGTTTTTTCGTCACCCAAAACAGAGGAGAAACCGAGTAATTTTCTACACGATTAAGCTGACACAACGTCGTTATAAAAACTGAGTTAGGTGCGATATGATAACGAACAATTATCGAACAACTTGAACATTTGAGAGGATGAGTGGTATAAGCAGCACAGTTTTTTCGAAGCGTCAAACTAACATGCTCTTGCGTGTATTAGTAAAGTATATACAAGGATGTTTAGAACCCTCGTTTCATTCCTTCTTTGTTCTTCGTTGAATACGTTGACTTGGGGACAGGCAAACTATTATCGTTGGTAGTTAACCTTTCGTGTAAGTAGTTACCACATACCTCTCCAGGGTTTACAGCCTCACCGTGGCTGGAAGGTTTTTCTGGGTGTCGAACTGCGATTTACAGCGAGGAGATTCATCACCCTGATAGGGTCTCTCAAGCTGAGAAGGAGTCCGACTTTTCCATCAGGAAGCCCAGGTAAAAGTGAACTAATACCCAGGATTCTCCACCGTCCTGTTATCAAACTAGTTGCATGGTAGCAAATCTCCCTCTGATCCACAAGGGCTGCCCGTGGTGGTGAAGACCTGGGGCGGACTTTGGCCAGGCTCACCTCGAAACTTCAAGGTGACGCTATGGCTAAACCAGAAAATTTCCTTGAAATGTCGCACAACTAGTGAATACTGGCCGTCCAAGTGCACTCCTACGCACAAATGGAACACATCCTCCACAAAGGCAATGGAGAAAATCATTTACAAATACGACTCAGACCTCTTCAATAGCCACGTCCTCTTGTCCTCGTATGAAATAAAGGAGTGTAGATATGTCGTACCACCGGTTCTTCCTTCCGAAATCTGATATGTTATTTCGTCGCCGAAACATCGAACAAGAAATGTTCCGGACAGGATGAGATCTGAACACCTGAAGAGGAAACGAGCGGCTTGGGAAGTTTTCAAGAGCATTGGGGATGTAGTGAAGAGAACAAAAAAGACCCGTCTCCGGGCCCACTTATTCGACTTCACGATTCACGATTCTCACTGCCTTAACGTATGCGTCAGAAACCTGGTCACTACATAAGCGGGATGAAAGATGGCTCAGCGATATTGAACACGCAGTCAAAAGGGCGATGTTAGGAGTATCCAATATTACACAAGTGAGGGAAGGGATCCTAATTTCCGACCTGCGTCAACGATCAAAACTCAAAGATGCCTTTTTTAGAATCTGATATTGCGTTTCATTAGTTCAAGCTACTTCCAAAACATCATTCTTCGCTTGTCTCGGAACACAGGCATTATCACCATGGTGTCGTCTGGATCGGGTTCGAGATGCATTGGCTGACCTTCGCTGCTTTGGAACTAGAAAGCGTTAGGGACGTTGTTATCGCAGTTAGAACAGCCCTTTCTCTAGTCGCAAAATCTAATCTACTGTGATGACCCATACTTTTCATCGTTTGTTCTATGAGTTAAAATTAGTATATGTCACGTTAACAAGAACTGGATCCAATGTTGTGATTGTGCTTTTCGTCATACAGTTCGTCTTTCTTATGTGTTTTGACAGTTTCATATTCTTGCAAAATTTCGAATTATTGAGGAGGTAGTGGAGTGGTTAATGATGCAGTCCATCAGGAATCAAGGTTTTGCAGTCGGCCAGGCCAGATAACATTGACGAAGAATACGATCGGCTCATTCAACATCTTCACGCTAGCACTATGAAAGCTGAGAGTTCGAAAGTCACCAAGAGACGTTTGTCTCCGGAAACACTCGAGCTTATACGCCAGCGTGGAATCGCACGAGCGGCAGGCAATCGCGAACTACTGTCAACAGTGAACTTGGGAGTTTTACAGTCGAAGTGCAATGATAACGAAATTATAAGGTAAACCACATAGGAAGTCAGTTTCGCCTTACCGGTTTCACTGTTATCTCAAAATTTTAAACAGTATTAGGACAATACTTCTTTCGTTAGAGATTCCACTCTTTGCGCAATGGAAAGAAAGTCATTAATTTCAAAAAAAAAAGCGAAGTCCCAAAACTTCCATGTGCTGAGATCTGTTGAGAACATTAGTCGGCTGTTGGGAAGGTGCTGTTTTTTATAATATGGGTCGCGAATACGACCGCCATATTCAACATCTTCACGGTAACGCTATAAAAGCTGAGGGTTCAAAAGTTACCAAAAGACGTAAGTCTCTTGAAACACTCGAACTGGTATACCGACGTGGAATGGCGCGAGTCGTAGGCAACCACCAACTCTCGCTAGTGCTTGCAAAACACTCCAGAAAGATGATAAACAAGGTTTGAAGAGAGAAGCGCAACAGTTACAGCCGCAGCTGCAAAGGTTGGTCAGTTGTCCGTTGTCTATAAACTCTTCAATTGAGTCGCTGTCGGCTGATTTGACAGAACCCTAGTTGAAGAAGAGTAATATGAAAAAGTAATGTTTTTCATCAATAAGCAGACACGAGGTTGTTAATATAGAATTTATTAGAACACAATTGCTGACGTTTCGGCGGTT